TTATGCGGTGCACACATACCACGTAGATGTATTCTCTCATATCTAGGCCTAAATGTACCACTCACAGTATCAGAGTGAGCTGAGCTCATGACGTAGAACTACAGTTTGGACCCTGAACGTAAAGCCGTAGATCTACGGGACGGACCCTGAAAAGGTTAATTCAAGGATTATGTGGAGCAAAATAAAGATTGGATGTGAAAAGTTGGTTATAGCAAGCGTGTATGGACCTGGAAGAGAAAGAAGTGTAGAGGAGAGAGAGAGAGATTTTGGGAAATGTTGAGTGAATGCGTGGGGAGTTTTGAATCAAGTGTGAGAGTAATGTTGGTTGGGGATTTCAATGCTAAAGTGGGTAAAAATGTTATGGAGGGAGTAGTAGGTAAATTTGGGGTGCCATGGGTAAATGTAAATGGGGAGCCTCTAATTGAGCTATGTGTAGAAAGAGATTTGGTAATAAGTAATACATATTTTATGAAGAAGAGGATAAATAAATATACAAGGTATGATGTAGCACATAATGAAAGCAGTTTGTTAGATTATGTATTGGTGGATAAAAGGTTGATGGGTAGGCTCCAGGATGTACATGTTTATAGAGGGGCAACTGATATATCGGATCATTATTTAGTTGTAGCTACAGTTAGAGTAAGAGGTAGATGGGAAAAGAGGAAGGTGGCAACAACAAGTAAGAGGGAGGTGAAATTGTATAAACTAAGGGAGGAGGAAGTTCGGGGGAGATATAAGCGACTGTTGGCAGAAAGGTGGGCTAGTGCAAAGATGAGTAGTGGGGGGGTTGAAGAGGGTTGGAATAGTTTTAAAAATGCAGTATTAGAATGTGGGGCAGAAGTTTGTGGTTATAGGAGGGTGGGGGCAGGTGGAAAGAGGAGTGATTGGTGGAATGATGAAGTAAAGGGTGTGATAAAAGAGAAAAAGTTAGCTTATGAGAGGTTTTTACAAAGCAGAAGTGTTATAAGAAAAGCAGAGTATATGGACAGTAAAAGAAAGGTGAAGAGAGTGCAAAAGGAGAGCAGATGAAAGAGTGGGAGAGGCACTGTCAAGAAATTTTAATGAAAATAAGAAAAAATTTTGGAGTTAAACAAGTTAAGAAAGCCTAGGGAAAGTATGGATTTGTCAGTTAAAAACAGAGTAGGGGAGTTAGCAGATGGGGAGAGGGAGGTATTAGGTAGATGGCGAGAATATTTTGAGGAACTTTTAAATGTTGAGGAAGAAAGGGAGGTGGTAATTTCATGCACTGGTCAGGGAGGTATACCATCTTTTAGGAGTGAAGAAGAGCAGAATGTAAGTGTGGGGGAGGTATGCGAGGCATTACGTAGAATGAAAGGGGGTAAAGCAGCTGGAACTGATGGGATCATGACAGAAATGTTAAAAGCAGGGGGCGGATATAGTGTTGGAGTGGTTGGTACTTTTGTTTAATAAATGTATGAAAGAGGGGAAGGTACCTAGGGATTGGCAGAGAGCATGTATAGTCCCTTTATATAAAGGGAAAGGGGATAAGAGAGATTGTAAAAATTATAGAGGAATAAGTTTACTGAGTATACCAGGAAAAGTGTATGGTAGGGTTATAATTGAAAGAATTAGAGGCAAGACAGAATGTAGGATTGCGGATGAGCAAGGAGGTTTCAGAGTGGGTAGGGGATGTGTAGATCAAGTGTTTACATTGAAGCATATATGTGAACAGTATTTAGATAAAGGTAGAGAAGTTTTTATTGCATTTATGGATTTAGAAAAGGCATATGATAGAGTGGATAGGGGAGCAATGTGGCAGATGTTGCAAGTATATGGAATAGGTGGTAAGTTACTAAATGCTGTAAAGAGTTTTTATGAGGTTAGGGTGTGTAGAAGAGAGGAGACTACTTCCCGGTAAAAGTAGGTCTTAGACAGGGATGTGTAATGTCACCATGGTTGTTTAATATACAGTGGACCCCCGGTTAACGAACTTTTTTCATTCCAGTAGTATGTTCAGGTGCCAGTACTGACCGAATTTTTTCCCATAAGGAATATTGTGAAGTAGATTAGTCCATTTCAGACCCCCAAACATACACGTACAAACGCACTTACATAAATACACTTACATAATTGTTCGCATTTGGAGGTGATCGTTAAGCGGGGGTCCACTGTATTTATAGATGGGGTTGTAAAAGAAGTAAATGCTAGGGTGTTCGGGAGAGGGGTGGGATTAAATTATGGGGAATCAAATTCAAAATAAGAATTAACACAGTTACTTTTTGCTGATGATACTGTCCTTATGGGAGATTCTAAAGAAAAATTGCAAAGGTTAGTGGATGAGTTTGGTAATGTGTGTAAAGGTAGAAAGTTGAAAGTGAACATAGAAAAGAGTAAGGCGATGAGGGTATCAAATGATTTAGATAATGAAAAACTGGATATCAAATTGGGGAGGAGGAGTATGGAAGAAGTAAATGTTTTCAGATACTTGGGAGTTGACGTGTCGGCGGATGGATTTATGAAGGATAAGGTTAATCATAGAATTGATGAGGGAAAAGAGGTGAGTGGTGCATTGAGGTATATGTGGAGTCAAAAAACGTTATCTATGGAGGCAAAGAAGGGAATGTATGAAAGTATAGTAGTACCAACACTCTTATATGGGTGTGAAGCTTGGGTGGTAAATGCAGCAGCGAGGAGACGGTTGGAGGCAGTGGAGATGTCCTGTCTAAGGGCAATGTGTGGTGTAAATATTATGCAGAAAATTCGGAGTGTGGAAATTAGGAAAAGGTGTGGAGTTAATAAAAGTATTAGTCAGAGGGCAGAAGAGGGGTTGCTGAGGTGGCTTGGTCATTTAGAGAGAATGGATCAAAGTAGAATGACATGGAAAGCATATAAATCTATAGGGGAAGGAAGGCGAGGTAGGGGTTGTCCTCGAAAGGGTTGGAGAGAGGGGGTAAAGGAGGTTTTGTGGGCAAGGGGCTTGGACTTACAGCAAGCGTGCGTGAGCATGTTAGATAGGAGTGAATGGAGACTAATGGTACTTGGGACCTGACGATCTGATGGAGTGTGAGCAGGGTAATATTTAATGAAGGGATTCAGGGAAACCGGTTATTTTCATATAGTCGGACTTGAGTCCTGGAAATGGGAAGTACAATGCCTGCACTTTAAAGGAGGGGTTTGGGATATTGGCAGTTTAGAGGGATATGTTGTGTATCTTTATACGTATATGCTTCTAAACTGTTGTATTCTGAGCACCTCTGCAAAAACAGTGATTATGTGTGAGTGTGGTGAAAGTGTTGAATGATGATGAAAGCATTTTCTTTTTGGGGATTTTCTTTCTTTTTTGGATCACCCTGCCTCGGTGGGAGATGGCCAACTTGTTGAAAAAAAAAGGAAAAAAGAAATATACAGTGTGTTAGATAGGAGTGAATGGAGATGAATGGTGTTTGAAAGTTGACAAGCTGCTGGAGTGTAAGTAGTGGCTGCTCATCTATAGGAGCTGCAGAGCTGCAGTCCCTCAAGATGCTCACTGCCAAACGTATGACTTCATCAACTTTACAATAAAATAATTTGGAACTGACAAATATATAACAGGGAAAATCTGCTGCATGTTGTTTTCAATGTATTAATAAGCTAATTTTTTTTTTTTGTTGAAACAAGATAAAAAATTATTAAAAATAGAAGTTTGATGTGGTACGATAGTATAGGTATTACTGGTGCTATGAACCGTCACCGAGTGTAAAAAGGGTAATATTTTGTGAAGGGATTCGGGGAAACTGGTAAGCCGGACTCGAGTCTTAGAGGTGTGAAGTACAATGCCTGCTCTTTAAAGAGGGTGGTTGGGATATTGGCTGTTGGGAGTGACATATGAAATGTCCTATTTGAGCACCTCTGCAAAGATGGTGATTATGTGTGAATGATGGTGAAAGTGCTTCTTTTCTGGGTAACCCTGCCTTAGTGGGATACTGCCAGCATGTTGGGGGTTGTTCCTTTTTTTTTTTTCACTATATGCACTGAAAGTGGGTAAAAGTGAAAATGCTAATGTTACTCGTGTGCACCTGCATGAATGCATGTGTGTAGGGGTGACCCCACTGGTCATCAACAGTACAAATAAAAAAAAATTGAGTGATGGTGTTCATGTGTACTATGTGATCAGTGTTATGACACTAGGTGCTGGAACATAGTGAGAGTGGTGGGACACACACCGAGTGGTGGAGCAGTGTGGGTGGTGTAGAGCACAGTGGGGGTGGTGTAGAGCACAGTGGGGGTGGTGTAGAGCACAGTGGGGGTCATGGAGCACACAGTGTGGGTGGTGGAGCACACAGTGTGGGTGGTGGAGCATTGTGCAAGTGGAGGAGCAAAGTTTAGGGATGGAGCAGTATGCAGGGTGGTGTAGGCAGTGCAGTGTGGGGGTGGTGTGGGAGATGGAGCAGTGTGTGGGGGTGGTGTGGGAGATGGAGCAGTGTGTGGGGGTGGTGTGGGAGGTGGAGGAGTGCATTAGAGTGGTGTGGGAGGTGGAGGAATGCATGAGAGTGGTGTGGGAGGTGGAGGAGTGCATGAGAGTGGTGTAGAACAATGTGTGTGTGTGTGTGTAGGGGGGGGTGAGAATTCCAAACACTTGATGTATAAACATGTTCTGAGGAAGATATTAATGTGTTTATGTGTGGGAGATAGTGTAGTGTAAGGTTAACTTACTGTACCCTTAGTGCTACCTGGACTCACTTGGTAAAGCAGTGTAAGGTTAACTTACTGTACCTTACTGCTACCTGAACTCACTTGGTAATGCTGTGTAAGGTTAACTTACTGTACCTTATTGCTACCTGGACTCACTTGGTAATGCAGTGTAAGGTTAACTTACTGTACCTTACTGCTACCTGGACTCACTTGGTAATGCTGTGTAAGGTTAACTTACTGTACCTTACTGCTACCTGGACTCACTTGGTAATGCTGTGTAAGGTTAACTTACTGTACCTTTCTGCTACCTGGACTCACTTGGTAATGCAGTGTAAGGTTAACTTACTGTACCTTACTGCTACCTGGACTCACTTGAGAGCATCAGCAGGAAGTTTACACTGAGAAAGTGTGAGGGTTTTTAGGGCCAAGGTAGAGGTAAAATATTGCTTGAAGGATGGCAGCATTTCTCGTGTCTTCTTACTGCCAAAACTGTTTCGTGAGAGGATGAGGTGAGCTAGACTACTTGTACATCCACGTAATAATGCCCCAAATACCTAGAAAAAAATATTTATATAAATATTCATACTTTAACATTAGTTTATACATAAATTTGATATCCTGGCTTGTCCTTATCTACTTTGCCACTCATTTCCTTTTCAATTGTATTTTATATCCTCAAACTCTTTACAATTATTTAATAATTTTTCTAACTACTACATATATATACCATATAGTAGTAATCACCTTACCTATACTGTATCAAAACATTTGCATGAACAATTATAATAAACTTCCCATTTTTGACATACTCACTATGCTACACATACATACAATGCTCTACTATACATAAATATAGCATTAATAAGGTGTAAATAACTACATTCTGAAAGCTGACAGACACTTGTCTGTCAGCATCTTTGGTGCCCAGTTGTATCAAGTCAAAACTATCCTTACTCATTCTCACCTCTAAGTACACGAACATATTCGTGGAAAAACCTAAACTCAGAGTTCATACAGTGCTTGGGTAGATCAAAGGAAGGGAGATGGGTCCAGATCCTTGGATCAACCTCTCCCAGTGGCCAGGCAGCTTTGAACAATATTTTCAAAACATAGGGATAGACCACATAAAAAGCACCAAAAATTTAATATTATTTATGGTCATTATATAAATTTTATGATGAAAGATAGTGATCTAGATCATCCTGAGGCATTCGTATGACCAAAACTGTGTGTAATGTACTCTTGAAAAAGGAGACTGACTGTCATCACTTCTCTCTCCACGTTGTGGATCCCAGAGTAAGAAGTCAAAGAATGCACCTATGTGAACCTATGGAAGCATACCAGAATTCTAATTCACCTTTAAGATGACTTAAGCATGACTTGTCAGCCTGCCAGATTCAGACAGTGGATACCAACAGTGATGATTCTGGTTTGAAAGCTCTATGATCTGTTGACTGTGTGTCCAGTTGTAAAGATAAAAGATACCTTTGTTACTGGAAATGAATTGACAGCTGCATGTCAAAGCCATCACTCATGAACCAGGTAAAGTTTACAAGTTCTTGCAAAAGGTCATTAACCCTTTGACTGTCGCAACCCCAAATCCTGAAGTGTCTCCTGGTGTCCAAAATTTTTTTTGAAAAAAAAAAAAAAAAAAAAAAAAAAAAAAAAAACTTTCTTCTTATGAAATGGAGAATCTTTTCCCGATGGTAATGACACCAAAAGTACGAAATTTGATCGAAAACTTATGAAATAATAATCCCGCAAAGTTAGCAATCTTGGTGATATATACGCATCGGTGATTTCGCTGACTGAGCCTTATTTTTGGCCAATTCCATTGTTCCAGTCGACCAAACTCATACCTATTTCTTTGTAACTCCATTTTTTCTATTAACTGAGTACAAGAAACTCCCCATTTACTAATTTCAACTACCCAATAGTGGTCAGAAATTGGCAATTTGGCCAATTTCACACAAATTTAAAAAGATGCCAATTTCAAAATAGGGTCCAGAATAAACAATGCAGACATTCTTGGCACTAAAATAACATATCCTCTGTTCATTAGTCACGTCTCTAGGCCCTCTCTTATATTACTCTTGCTTTCTATTTTGATATTTGATCCACACAAAAAATAGAAGATTTACTGTTATGCAGACTAATGCATTACTGTAAAAATGGTATAAAAAATATCAGTGCACCGGTGAAACTAATCAAAATCATCTCTATTTCTGATGAATGGTTTGAAAAACCGACAAGTTGAAGATTGAGACACTTATGCAGCACATGGGAATCTTTATTCAGGAAACGTTTCGCCACACAGTGGCTTCATCAGTCCAATACAAAGAGGAAGGCGAAAGGAGAGGAGGAGTATGAGGTAATCAGTCCCTCAACCTGGAGTCGATGTGTTCAGTCCATCAAGATTGATGGACTGAACACATCAACTCCAGGTTGAGGGACTGATTACCTCATACTCCTCCTCTCCTTTCGCCTTCCTCTTTGTATTGGACTGATGAAGCCACTGTGTGGCGAAACGTTTCCTGAATAAAGATTCCCATATGCTGAATAAGTGTCTCAATCTTCATCTCTATTTCTGTAATATGTCTTCCATTCTATCAAATGAGACCAAGAAAATGAGAATACAACCATAAATACTATAGGAAAATACACCTCAAAGTCGGAGTTTTAATCCAAAAACAGTTTTTTTTTTCTCTCATTATGCACTGCAGGATTTTTTTATACAGTGCACACTGACCACAGACCCTTTCTCTCACTTGTGGGCCTACCAGCTTTCTCCTGCTTGATTTGAAGCTGCTAGAATTACTGAGTATACGTATATATGTCCGAAACACTGACTCGTAAGACGTACAGTGGTCCCTCGCTTTTCGTAGTTCTTGGCAATCGTAAATTTCGGAAATCATAGGAATATTTTCGCATAAACATGGGCTCGCTTTTCATAGGTTGACTCGCGAGTCATAGTTCGTCCGGGACACATACCCACGGCGTGAGCCGTGGCGGCAGCCAGTCTGGCATTGGTCCATTGGTCCTGGCGAAGGTCCCCTCACATGCTCCAGCGAAATATTTCATAATATTTCATTTATTTTAGTGCTTGCAAGTTCTAAATAAGCTACCATGGCTCCAAAGAAAGCTCCTAGTGCCAAGCCTGTGGTAAAGAAGGTGAGAAATACAATTGAATTTAAGAAAACCATCACTGAACAATATGAAAGTGGTACAAGTTTGGCCGAACTGGCCAGGATGTATAAGAAACCCTACACCACTTTTTGTTCCATAGTGGCCAAGAAAAAGGAAATCAAGGACACTGTTGTTGCAAAGGGGGTAACTATGCTGACAAAAATGAGATCACCAGTACTCGAAGAAGTTAAGAAGTTATTATTGGTGTGGATAAATGAGAAACAATTAGCAAGAGATACTCTTATGACTTCGATTATTTGTGAAAAGGCTAGGCAGGTGCATGACGATTTGGTAAAGAAATTGCCTGCAACTAGTGGTGATGTGAGTGAATTTAAGGCCAGCAAAGGCTGGTTTGAGAGATTTAAGAACCGTACTGGCATACACAGTGTGGCAAGGCATGGTGAGGCTGCCAGTTCGGACCACAAGGCGGCTGAAAAATATGTGCATGAATTCAAGGAGTACATAGAGACTGAAGGACTGAAACAGGCCTCTTTTGGAAGAAAATGCCAAAGAGAACCTTTATTACACAGGAGGAAAAGGCAATGCCAGGACACAAGCCTTTGAAAGACAGGCTGACGCTAATGTTCTGTGCTAATGCTAGTGGGGATTTCAAAGTGAAGCCATTACTAGTGTACCATTCTGAAAATTCCAGTGTGTTCAGGAAAAACAATGTTATGAAGAGTAAATTGTGTGTTTTGGAAATCTAATAGTAAGGCATGGGTCACGAGGGAAATTTTCGTCGAGTGGTTCAATGAAGTGTTTGGCCCTAGTGTGAAGGAGTATCTCCTGGGAAAGAAGTTGGATCTCAAGTGCCTGCTAGTAATGGACAATGCACCTGCTCATCCTCCAAACTTCGATGACCTAATTTTCGAGGAGTTTGGGCTCATCACAGTGAAGTTCTTGCCCCCGAATGCCACTCCTCTCCTCCAGTCCATGGACCAGCAGGTCATTGCAAACTTTAAAAAACTCTACACAAAAGCAATGTTTCACAGGTGCTTGACTGTGACCATAGACGCTCACTTGACCCAAAGGGAATTTTGGAGAAAACATTTCAGCATCCTCCATTGCATAACCCATATAGGTATAGCTTGGGAGGGAGTGACTACCAGGGCTTTGAACTCTGCCTGGAGAAAATTGTGGCCAGATTGTGTCGACAAGAGGGATTTTGAAGGGTTTGGGACTGACCCTGATGAGCCTATGTCTGTTGTAAAATCAATAGTGGCACTGGGGAGTTCCATGGGGTTGGATGTGAGTTTGGAGGATGTGGAAGAACTGGTGGAAGACCACAACCAAGAGCTCATCACTGAGAAGCTGCAAGAGCTTCAGCAGGAACAGCAACAGATTGCAGCTCAGAATCTTGCTGCAGAGGAGGAGGAAGAGATGGAAGAAGGTGCCTTCTTCAGAAATTAGAGATTTTTACTATGTGGGGTAAGATGGAAAGCTTTATGGAGAAACATCACCCTAACAAGGTTGTTGCAAGCCATGTTGGCACATGTACAGTGACAAAGTCTTGGGTCATTTTAGGGAAGTGTTAAAGAGACGCCAGAAACAGAGCTCTCTGGACAGTTATTTTGCGAGACAGGACTCCAGTGACTCTCAATGTGGTCCTAGTGGCATTAAGAAACAGAGAAGAGAAGCAACCCCAGAAAAGCAAATGGTACCTGAGGTGTTGATGGAAGGGGATTCCCCTTCCAAACTATAAACAATCCAATCTCTCTCCTCCTCCAGTCTCCCATACATTAAGAAAAATCTCCAATAAAGTTAAGTGTTACGCTGTTAATGTTTCATTCATCATTTCCCATTGTATTGTTTATGTACTACATGTATATTTCATGTAAAAATTTTTTTTGTTTTAATACTTCTGGGTGTCAGGAACGGATTAATTGTGTTTACATTCTTTCTTATGGGGAAAATTGATTCGCAAATCGTAAATTTCGTTTATAGTAGTTCCTCCAGGAACGGATTAATTACGAAAAACGAGGGACCACTGTATATATACGACCAAAACAGTCAAAGGGTTAAAAAGAATAAGGTGTCTGGGTGGAAAGTGTGGAAGTTCAAACCCTGTCACAGAGGATTTTTCCTTACACTGCAGTGAATCCTCACAATGAGCTAGATAGGGCCAGTAACATCTATACACTCCTTGAACACAGTTGCCCTCTATGATAAATCAAGCAACGAGGAATGAATGAGGGGAAAATAAACTGATGGAAAACATTCCAAGTATGCAAGATGCACTGTCTGAGAACTCAAAATGAGTTGCCCACCAGGCTAGGATCTAAACCTCATGAGATTGAGGGATGCAGCTAGACTTTGCATAAGACCAACAAATCTTTGCTTCCAGGGAGCTACACTCCCCCTGCCATCA